GCTTTAATCAATTTACCAATGTATTTAGTTTTCGTCATTTGGGTTCGTTTTCTTTTACCAGACTTCCTGCAAGTATGTTTCTCAATCTACAACCGTCTGATATCCTCAGCCCAGAGCCCCAGGGAGGCAGTCTACATCCCCAGCGAAACCTCCCCCAGACAGGAGAAGAAACAGCCCCGCCCCTTGGATCAGGCTGCGCCGGAGGGCGTGGACTGTAGGCTATTCTTGGAGGCGGTAGCCAAGGAGTGCAGCGATGCAGCGTACAGGTGGGGCCCCCTCTAGCCATCGTACCTTCTCTTTTATTTTTGGTCATTTTCATCCTCTCATCAACCCTGTGTGGACATTTTGAACTCTGAACAAGAAACATGCACAAATTGCTCAGAATATATCCCCGTCTATTTTTTCTTCAGCAAAACTCCAGTTTTTTCAAAGATGGATTTGCGCCGGGGAGATGACATTAATGTTGGACTTTTGCCCTGTCCGACGAGTATTTAACCCCGTCACGGCGGGATTATTTTGACCGCGACTGCTGGGCTGTGGTATGCCCTGAATGGAGGGCTTTGTCCATCAGCAGGCCCCATTGAACCAGCAGCTGCATGGTGAATAGACTGTATGCGTGGTATGCACTAATCCTCACACAACGGTGCGGTAGCAGCAGTCCTCGGTAGCGAAGGGGTTAACACTGTATACGACATCTGCAATAGTAGCAGGTGGTCGTGGGTTCGAGTCCCACCCGAGTACGCTTGTGGGTTTTTGTCATAAGCCTTCGAGGGGCATACACTGAGTATACATTGTTAAAATACATGTCGGGCAGGGCAAAAATCCAAAATTAAAACTCAAGTTTGTTGAGCTTCCATTTTTCAGATGTCCCGATATTCAGAAATCCTGTGATGTCAAAGTTCACACATACCATTTCTTTGTAATTTTCGGGAGGTTTTGGGTAAACGCTGGACGGATACCCAACAGTACACAATCAAAAACTTTGAGGATCATCTAAGAGTTTAACCCTTAGAGTTGGGGGTGGAACCCACACCCTAGACTTTATCTCTGATGGCGACGCTGTATGTTTCTTTTTTTCAGTGCCTAAACCGTCAGGAGTTTTCAATGACGTTTTGGACAATCATTTTGACACCGGATTGTGAAAACAGAACACGTTGTTCTTGTGAAGTGTTAATTTTTCCAAGACAGGTCAGGTAAACGTGTAAACATTTTCCTTTGTCATGCTCAGTGCATTTAGACGGACATGCCCAAGGGAAAGGCAATTTATGCACGCCAAAATTTACGAAGAAATAGATCTTGGAGGGCAGCATTCACCCCAGCTATGGGATGTTCCAGAAAAGCCCGGCCCTCTGTTTAAACGAACAACTTTGGCTGACGACACTTGCAGATTGCAGGCAGGGTGTGATCACAGGCCGTGTTGAACCACTTTCCTGACTGCGAGATATCGGCACAATTTTCTTGCTTGCCTTGATAGTTGTTGGGCTCTCCTGGAAACCAATTCACGAAACCCACCTCTGTGTTGTCATCCAAGCATTTCCAGACTTTGAATCCCTCATGATAATGGCAGTGGATCCATGCCGATGTCGGCGGCGTAATCCCCCTCATGAGGTCATTTTCTTCCATGGTCGTGGGTGCGGCCAGAAAGGCCCCGTAAGCACGGCACAGCTGGTGAGCCGCAAACCAGTTGACTTTATCACGGGTTGTTACGTAGCATGAGCCATACCAGCTCTTCCAACCAGCAGGGCAAGGAGTTGTCACGGCAACCGCACAGTGTTCCTCCATCTCAGCAACCCTCAAAGTCAAAGTTGCGACGAGAAGAGCGAGCACAAGATGATTCACAGGCATTGTTTCAAGCCAGCAAAGACACAGTCTTGAGAAATCCCAAACAGAACATTTCTAACAATCCTCGCAAAGCTTACCTGATCAAAACAACAGCCTGTAGGAATGGCATCCACCGTTAGATGTGTGAAATTTATGAAGCACGCACCTGTCGCACCACACAAATTATGACCATGAAAAAACTACCAAGGTTGGCACAGGTGTACTTGTATCTTAATAATGCCAGGTGTGTGTCTCCATGGCAACAGGCATCTACAGTTTAATGATTATTGATTGACGTCGGGCAAAAAATATTGCAGAATGTGGAATTAAACATAAGTCATAGCCATGTCTAATTGACTTTTCTGTGGCTGCAAGTCACACAAGCCTATGGAAAATGCCTACGTCAGCTACCTAGTGACTCCCATATACTGACGTGTGATTTCAAGCCATAGCCCTGTGATTCAGATGCCATTTTCGAAAGGCCACTGATTGACAATGTCTTATGGGCACATTTGTTGGTCCCCGTTGGCTGCTAATCAATTTGTTGTTCGTGAATTAATGCGCGCAAACCTGTTAATGCACTGTTTGCCAAGGTTCCATACTTTCAGATAACAATCCATCGCTCATCCACAGCAAAATTCTTGGGTGTTGATCAAGGCTGCTCTGTTGGTGTTTGACCAATTCGTGATAGGAAATTTAAAGCTGCTATGATAACCTGTGAGAGTTTCACAAAGACAATCTGGCGACTTCTGTCCACAGAGGCAAATCAAATTGTCAAATTTCCTGTTTGTACAAACATAGATATGGTCGTGATATACGTTTATGGAGATGAAGTTCATCTTGGGTGCCCTACGTGGCCTGAATTTGAACAAATACCGCTCCCTGGCAGGGTATCGGTGTGGTGCATTATTGGAGTTACGGTGAGAAATGTTATCCAAGGTTACCTAGAGTCAGTATTCCTGGTACCCCGCTAAATTACAGAAAATGGCTGTGGTATCTTTTATGAGGTTTCCAGCTGAGTTTCCACATCTGGGGCCATTTTGTTGTGGAATATTAAACGCAATCTGGAAGTGGTTACATAAAGTGCAGAGAGTGGCGACGCTTGCACAGCGTTTGCTGATGTTTGGTACACGGCTTGTCGTACCAGTTCTCAGTGCCACTGAACAGCTCGACACATTTTTCGTCGATCCCATTGTAGTCTTTGAGTTCTGCCGAGGCCCAATGCCTGTGGGCTGGTCCCGTCCATGTTTGATGCATTTTTCTTACTTTTACACCCATGCCAACTTGCCAAGTTTTAAAAAAATCGGGTGGAAAACAGAGGAGATCTTGCAGGACAGAATCCAACCCCCCCCTCAGCTTTGTGATGAGCTGGCAAAGCCTGACTCAGTTTAAAGGAACAACTCTGGCTGATGACGTTTGCAGATTGCAGACAGGGTGTGATCGCAGACCGTGTTGAACCACTTTCCCGACTGTGAGATATCGGCACAATTTTCTTGCTTGCCTTGATAGCTGTTCGGCTCTCCTGGAAACCAATTCATGAAACCCACCTCCTTCGTGTCATCCAAGCATTTCCAAGCTTTGGTGTCATCATAATAATGGCAGTGGATCCATGCCAATGTCGGCGGCGTAATCCCCCTCAGGAGGTCATTTTCTTCCATGGTCGCGGGTGCGGCCAGAAAGGCCCCGTAAGCACGGCACAGCTTGTGAGCCGCAAACCAGTCGACTTTATCGGGGGTGGTTATGTAGCATGAGCCACGCCAGTACTTCCAACCAGCAGGACAAGGAGTTGTCACGGCAACCGCACAGTGTTCCTCCATCTCAGCAACCCTCAAAGTCAAAGTTGCGACAAGAAAAGTAAGCACTCGGTGACTCGTAGGCATTATTTAAAGCTGGCAAAGTCTTAGGAAATTCCACAACAGAAAATTTCCAACAATCCACACAAGAGCCACCCGATGAAAACGGCAGTCGGCAAGAATGTATGCTTTAAAATTAAAGGCATGAGCTGCCCAAATGACGACCATGATGACATTACCAAAGTGTTAATAATACTTGTGGTTTATCTCCATGGTAACCGTGCAGCTATATGATGACAATGGATCAACGTCAGGGTAATGGATGTAATGACTTTTTGAAGAATAAAAAATCAAAAAGCATGTTTATGAGCCATGTCTGTATCTCTTTTCTGTTTTCAAAAGGCTGTGGGTTACCCTGACCATGACAATAGCTTGATTGGTCTCTATGGGCCCTGCATCAATTTTTTATAATAGTCATAGCGAGTCACTAATATAGCTTTTCTGAGGTAGTAATTGGAATTGAGTCATGAGACAGAAATTTGAGTCAAGACATGTATTTAACTCGAGTCATTTCACGTCACAAAAATAGTTGAGCACAATGAAGAAATAGGAGAGAAAGTTTTGGGGCATTTGTAAATTTACCTCACAAAGGCTACTCGATGAGAACGGCAGTTGGCAAAAATGAAAGTTGTAAAATCAAATGCATGAGCTGCCCAAATGACGACCATGATGGCATTACCAGAGTCTTAATAATACCTGTGGCGTATCTCCATGGTAACCGTGCAGCTGTGATATGATGGCAATGGATCAACGTCAGGGCAATGGATGTAGTGGCATTTTGAAGCATACAAAATTAAAAAAGCATGACTGCATGTATGAGGCGCCAATTACCCCGACCATGACAGTAGCTTACAATGTAATTGGTCTCCGTGGGCCACACATCAATTTTTGATCCCAGCGTTTAGAGATGTCTGAGGTTTTTACCCTCCATTATTTGTCAAGTTTTGCGTAAAGCTTCCTCAGCCATGGGGCCAGCAAGCATGAAGTAAATCCCCTTTGGAGCAATCGTCTTTGGAGTCTTCTCTGACCGTATCCCTGTCACTTTGCGTATCTTGCGTACATTGAAGCAAGATAGGCCAAGGCGTTGTAGAAAATGACTTGGGGATAGAAGTGTTCACATTCCCACCTTTGTGAACAGTTCTTTTCTTGGAGATTCACATGGTTTAGCGATTCAAACACGTTTGCGTCTACATTTTCATTACAGTCATCCTCCCATGGCCTGCCTGCGGGAACTTCTGAACAGCGCCCCCAGGGTATCATTCTACGGCTTTCTGATGGGTCTGGCAAAGAGCCAAGTCATCAACGACGCCATTGAGATGCTCCCAGCCAAAGGCTCGTTGTATGAGGAATCGGATCAGGACTTGACATCGTAAGGGAGCCGTACTTGTCCCATCTCTATCCCCCCATCCATACCCTTATGCTCCGCCCCCACACACCCAACACCCATTCCAAACTGCTACTCAATCTCAAACGCAAACCTTCAAAGCTTAACCGTCAGTCGTTTCCTTATCAATGAAGAATTCTGTCATTATCCAAGAGATTGTAAGCTCGTTGACAGCCAGAATGTGACTCGACCTTTTACAGAAAGATTCCTAAGCCTCTAGAATCACCGTCTGCCTTGAGCAGAAGTTCCCCCCCCCCGGTTGAAGAGTGTTGTTGGGGAGTTTTTATTTTGTTGGTAGTGAAGTGACGGCAGTTCGTACATTTCATAGTCATTCGTGAACCAGCCAAGTGCAGTTCCCATCAAAGGAACCTCCATTGCTAGGAAATTGCGCCCTCTATTGGTCCAGCTCGGGCCCTTTGAATTAAATACATGTACCCATGAAAGAGTTGTACACCATGGAAATTGATAGGAACCTTACGATATTTCATTGGTATAAATGTTCCTTTTCATCATTGTGGCACACTGAGTATTTCACCAAAACAGCTGAATTTGCTCTTTCTGATGCAAACTCATAGACAAATTACTGAAAGAAATGCTCTTAAGGCTTTTTGTGGGATCTGCTCACATGTATTTAGTTATTTTACAATTTGTAATTTTCCTTTGTTTCTGTTTTTTTTCTAGTGCAGTGGCCAAAGTACGATTACCCTCATCGGGAACGGATGACAGGTAGACTTCCAGGTACCAGCTGAAGGCATCCTGCCTCCCTCATTATCCAGCCAACCCCGCCCCCCCCTAGCAAATTTCCGGCTTCGACCCTGCCTTGCACAGTGAACATGTGACCATATTTCCTGCGGTGCAATCTGCGATTTTTTCAGAGTCACTTTGACCATTCAGTGGACTGGTACAAGTTTAGACATTTGACTTACACTGTAATACATTTTCCGTCTGGATCGTTGGAAGTTACAAGTATAATGTAAATATTTGCTGGCTTGTTTTTTTAAAATAACAAATGTATAAACAGTGCCTTTCGTTGTTTACATAATTTACATGTAGATAAAAGCAAGGTTGGATTTATGAGTGTTAAAGTATAAAGAATAAAATATAAATGATAAAACCAAGTTCCTCGGGTAAAGTTGTACTTGTCAAAATACCACCCCTCCCCCATGCAAAGAAGTCAATCTCTTAGATGCGCTATGTGGAAAGGATCAAGAAATGGATATTTCAAGGAGTGCCATACCAGCAACCCTACACTGCTGGGGTTCTCAAAACCACTTGCAATTATTTTATGAAAATTTCAGTTTCATCTGGCCTCTGATGCTGACATCCAATTTTAAGCACCTAACTGCATAGGGTCGAATCTTTTCTACATCACATATATTTTTGTCGTAGAGTAACCTGTTGCTGGCGAAATAATGAATGGCAAAAATCTCAAAGAGCTATCACATTACCACAAATAATAACCTAATAATAAACACTTCCATAATCAAGTGAACATATAAAACCTTTTTTTAAATTAAAGGTTATGGGTCAAGATGTACATTTTGAGGTGAAATCTAACATCAAAGGTGATTATTTCTGCATTCTGTGGCCGTGTGGATGGTACTTAAAGGGAGAAGGGTCTTTTGCTGTGATGAGTGTAGTCTTGGTCAAGACGTTGTTGATACACCAGCGGGCGCTCGCTTGTAAGACGAACGGCACGAACCACAACTAGCCACGCCAGCAACAACTAGCTGGCGTGGCTAGTTGTGATTCGTGCGTTCCAGCTATTCGTCTTTTGTGCGCCCTCTCGCGTATTAATAACAACACCGAGTCTGCAGGATATATGCATCTAGCGGGTGCCGCGCGAAGTGGTAACAAAGTTAGTGGAACTAAAGAAGAAAATTTTTCGGATGACACCGCAGTCTCTGGATTTGGATAATTTTCAGACTGACGATGCTCAATAAAGAGACCAACTTCGTGCGAGGAGTGGCCCAGTAAAGTGTAAAATGCGCCGTCGAGGAAACCAACTCATGTCTTCTTTGGGAATGTTTCAGTTATTCCAAGCTACTTGAGTCTGATGGGAGTAAAGTCTGCTGGGTTGGCCGTTCTACTCAGCGTTCTAAGGATACGAACGATGTATTGAGGCTAATATAAATGGAATGCACCGTTTGGACGTTGACGTAACGCATTTTGTTTGCCTTTTTAAAGTCCACACTCATGTAATTTGACATTATTCTATTGGCATAATTAAGAATAGAAAATAAAATACATAATAGACAAAACGAAAGATTATCCATCGGAAACGTACACAAATTAAAAGACGAAAATACGCTTGATATCCAAGACAGATAAAACTGATCTTACAGAGGGTTTAAGTAAAACAATCCTTTTAAGAAGCAGCTGAATACTTCTAACATTTACCTACATTAGCGTTGTGTGGAATTAAAAAGGTGTAAAAGTCGACGGTGTTCCGGAGGAAGTCTAGCCCGGCCCGTGTAATGAGGAATTTGTGGAATGGTATGCGGGGGGAACACACTTTGTATATATGACAGCCTAATGATGTTTCCAACATCAACCTTAAAGCCCTGATCCTACAATAATGGAAAGTCCGACATTGAGGCTTACTTCTAAAGATATGATGTCATTAAAGACAGAGGAAAAGTAAAAGTTGTACCGTTTCCTCTAATCGAGTTTTCGAGGGCCACCGAAGAGCGTTTGTCGAAAAATCTGGCTTCGTCACGTCCCTCATTTGCAACCGCTGACTTTTTAAAAATTACCTTGTCGCCCCTGTGGACATTTTTTTTTTCAATTAAAATTGATTTGTTGAGCTACTTTTAGACTGAAATAACTTGTTTTGAAATCTTTACTCATACCGATGTGAATATTGTGGCTTTGTTTAGCAAATAAATAACGGAGGGTTTATCTCTGATTGAGGAACTCCGCTTTTGGTAGTGAAGGCGCGACAGTGAACAACCCGACATCTGGGCAAAGGTGTCATGTGAACTCTAAACTCAACTTGAACCACACACTTGAAAACAGATTGCCATAGAAATCTGGGGCAACAAATCAAACCATGATGTGTTTGCCTGGAAGATTTGTGAGTTTATAAAGACATGCATATTGAAAAGGCCTATAGAGAGATGTAACCGATCAGAAAATACTCGTCATGACCGACACCAAAAGAAGTACGTCATCACTGATAAGTCAAGTGCTAAGCCACTCTCCCGGTCCCCTTCATGGCGTGGCGTAATGGCATGGGTGTGGAGTCCAAATGTGTCTCCTATCCAGGAATGTATTGCAAAGGTGTTTCTTTTTTATCCCGTTCATTGCTTCCAGGGAGCGGAATAACATTCTTATTGCTTTTCAAGCTCGTCATTTCTGCTAATACTTAAATGGCGCTGACTACAAAAATTTTGGTTACCTTATACTTCGTTTTCTGTGAGGAGAAAAAAATACTTGGACTTCTCTGCTTCTCTTTGGAAAGAAGTGCCCCTTTGTGGCTTATTTCAATACTTTGAGGTAAACTGATTATTAGGTCTTACTTTCTACACAGTGTTTTAGAAATTAACCGGCAAGCTCAATTGTCAATCTCAATTTTCTAAAGTGCCTGCCTTATCTGGAAAGTCTGGTTCAATTCTCGTCACAAGAGGGCGCCAGCACAGGTTACCGTCGATTAATGATTATTCACTTGCACGCAAACGGCCGGTTAGTGCCTTCTCTGAGTTCTTCCAAGTTCAGAAAGATGCTTCCATTATCGTGAGTAAACAGTGTGAAGTCAGTCGTCTAGTTTTAAAATTTCTATCGAATCTCGTGTCATTGTTTAATTCAAGTTGTGTTGAAAGTTTTCATGGTTTATAACTTAAACATGTTTTTAACGCGACGATTGTGAAATAAATCATGTGAATGAATGTAGGCCCTATATTGCCTTGCGGTCGAGCTGGTAAGTGTCTATTTCCGACACAAAGTGAAGTAAGGCATCGCACGAAGGGGAGGTTAGATATTTAGGTGGCTGTGTATCCTTTTGCTTTAGTTATGTTTGGTCCGATAGGAAATGATTTCCACATTGGCAGTGGATATTCATCCATCGTTGGCTAAATGTAGGTGTGCCTGAATGATTTTAGCTGGACTGATTGAGACATGTACAACATGAACATACATGCGCACGTACGTACATGATACATATAATGCAGACATGCGGAGTAACTCTTTGGGGACTAACATTGTGACAAAACCGGTCTCTTGCTGACTCCATATCCTGGTAGCCACTCCCCAGAACCCACACTGGACATGGATATTTTGTTACATTTCCCCAATGAGTTGTGCATGATTACATTGATATGGATGCTTTGTTCTCTACAATGACTGAAATAATCTTCACATCAACAAGCTGAGACATTGCAAGGAAACTCAATGAAAGGAAATAGCGCCCTCTGTCTCCCCTTCCAAGGGAGCTCCACAACCTCCACTGCATTGCAAATGGACTTCGTCATTCGATTGACTGCGTAGCCCTTGAATTTGAGGGGGGTATTTTTGCTTGGCAGGGTATTTTGCAATTACTCCTGGTTGAGTTCCTAGAGCGAACGGGTGTAAAAATTAGGAGAAACTTGTTGGTGTTAATGACACTCAAACCTTTAGCCTTTATACCATACATTATAGTACAGTGGTCCATACTATCAAGCAAATCCACCGATACATCTCCAGATAAATTCTGCTTCGTGAAATCTCTAACATGTTTGTTTCGAACGCTCTTTGTATTTTGATGTTATTTCAGGTGAATCGCCAAGAACGAACACCATTGACTGCAAGGCACAGATTTGCCAAACACCACGACAGCAGCAAGTGTTGTTGAGCAGCAAGTGTCTTGCGAGGATTCGTCATCATGATCATTCCAATCCGTTGCTTCACCTGCGGCAAAGTCGTGGGCAACAAATGGGAGGCCTACCTGGGTCTGTTACAGGCCGAGTACTCGGAAGGGTGAGTGATAGTACAAGCAGCTGAAAAGGAGACTAAGAAGTTAAACCGGGGAAAACTGCCAGGGCACTTTGAAAGGTTACAAAAGCAAATACGAGTTTGCTCTGCTTGTCAAATGTTACGGGAGATAAGACAGTGCTCTGATGCTGTAAGTAGTATTGGATTTGATGAAAACTTGACAATTCCAAAGATGTTGACTTTTTAAAGAATTCTGGGCATATTACTCAATAATTTTATTTCTTCCAATCGTTTTGTTTTCCCTGTCAGTGATGCTCTGGACGCACTCGGTCTGAAGAGATACTGCTGCCGTAGGATGCTGCTCTCTCACGTTGATCTGATTGAAAAGCTGCTGAACTATGCTCCACTGGAGAAGTGATGGAAGGACAAAGAGAGGAAGACTTGGATTGAAATTGTTTTTTTAACTGAGAAAAACACCTGGTTGATTGTCATTAATGGGCACGTGGCTTCAGTGGGCAGACTGATGGAGTTGTGGTCTCTTTTAGATTTGAACTCAACTGAGGGCCTGAGCTTCTTTCATCTCGTAGTTTTCTATTTTCCATATATGCAGCAAAAACCGAATGGCTGGACAAAGAACACAGGCTTCCCCATCAAATAGTCTGTTAGGTCAAAGTAAAATAAATCTCTTATTCAGTTTTTTTAAGAAAAAGGTAGGGGGAAGCCCCACCCCTCTTTAAGATTGCAGATTTTTTCCAAGATGGCAGATGGATTTTCTTGATCGTATATGCCTTGAGCAGAAGCACTCCCTCAAAGATGGAAAAGAGCCATGTTGGTGGGGAGTGTCTGTTTCGTTGGTAGCGAAAAAACCACAACGCATGCCTTTCATAGTCATTCATGAACCAGAGAAGAGAGCAGTTCCCACCAAAAGAGCCTGCATTGCTAATACATGTACATAGCTGAATGATGTTTGCAAGACGCAAGATGTCAGACTAAGTTGTAAATATAAAAAACAGAAACCAAAAAAATTATGAGGCAGGTGGAGACAGAAACATTCCAAGTAGCTTCTGTCACAGTGGCCAAAATGGTTAACTGTTGGCACTAAGATCTGGCTGGTCAAAGCCATTATCATAAATCATTTTGCTTTACCATCACACCACTGCGAGCACCCCAGAGGGCGCTCTTTGAACTCACAGGTGTTCATTGGGTCACT